GTGGCATTGTTGTGGATAGTATGATTGGCACAGAGAGGTCCACAATTGAGATTAACTTTGGCCTAGACCCAATGTAAATTCGCTGACGTTACCGGTGGACACATTTCAATTATAAAAACCCGCGAATTTTGAATAGGGCCGCTATTAGTCCAATTGGAAGCTATAAATTTTCCGTATGTTATCGGTGGTTACGTTACGTTTATAAAATCGTACAATTTTCAGTTAAGAATACGGTAAAACCTCTATTATCGGAACATCCATTATCGGAACGCTCTGTTATGCGAACATTCTTTTATTTGAACGTTCTATTATCCGTACAATGTATTTCAGACGTCAGGTATGTTCCACACAATGCTTACATCCTGCCATGTATACAGGACGATTCATGAATGCGTGTCAATACTTCAGGGGGTAAACTTACACACTAATATAAGTAAAAAACATCATGAAAATATATTCAATATACATTAGTTTTCGAGTTATGGATGATTAAAGAAAACGTTCGAAGTGCCCGCCAGATGCGTCAACACATGCTACAGCACGCCTAAGTATGTCTTGACCTTGACAGATGTTTATAAACAATATCCATCGATATTTTTTTTCTATAAGAAAGGATACAAAATGGATTTGAGGCTACTCGAAGAATACCTAATATTTTCGAACGAATGTGGAACTCGGTGGTACGGCGTGCAGTGGCGTGTGTCGAGGCACTTCTTGCTTCCTCTAAAATTCTTAAAATTTCTTTCAATCAACCATAACTCGAATATGAAGGTATATAGGACACACGTTCACATGACGTTTTTTTACTTATATGACTATACATATATATACTTATTAAGTATTGACATGCATTTATGAATCCTTCTGTATACAGGGTGACCCGTACTATGTGGGAAGTACTGCAGGGGTGGATTCAAGATACAACGATAACAAAACAATATTCATATAAACATATGTCCAACATGACCTTCTTTTCGAGTTACAGTCTGTTTCGTGTTGCAACAAGTGTGTATTTAATTTCAAAGGAAATGCTTGAAATGGACACCACTAGCTTGAATACAGGTGTTCACTGAACACAGTCCGTGTACTAATTACTCCATTCATAATACAAGCAATACATGATAGTATTAACAAATTAGTTAAACGTTATGACTATTAAATGTTCCAGATAAACAATAAACACGTAAGAGCCTGTATTTGAAAACCAAGGTCATATCGAACACATGTGAAGATGGGCGTAGCCAGGTTATCAGTCGAGGGGGGGGGGGGGGCAAAAATATTAACACATCGACTGCCACAGTGAAAAAGGTCATATGTAACCAGACGCACTTAATTGTGTTTTTAAAGTCATAAATCGTTAAAAATGTATGCGTTTTGTTAATAGAGGCTGTTGTCGAGTTTCAAATTATACTGCAATATTAAATATTATGTAAAAATGTTGTAACTCTGGATAGGGAGAGGGAAACAAAATCTAATTTTTTTCTTGTAGGGTGGGGCAAAAGCCACTTGTATCCGTCCAGGGGAGGCAAGTTCCCCCTCCCCCCGCACCTGCCCCCCTGGCTACGCCTATACATGTTAATATGAACTTTTTTGCTTATTTTAGTATATTAAATCTGCTGTACTTCTCACATGAAACGAGACATCGTGTATATAAATTCCTTTAGACATTCCTTCTATGCATCTAATGATCGCAAAGGGAATGCAACTGTACAGAATTGTGAGTGTTAAAACATTTATGCGATTCACCGACTAAAAAGATATGGATAAAAAAAAAAACTTTTTTACGTGTCCCTTTTTTCTATTCATTTGTGTTATGTTTAAAATATTTGAAGTTCCACATGATAAGAGTTGTCATTCTATTAGCTGTACAAATTAATTCGTGACCTTCTTTTTATAGATTTGTCGTTTATTTAAAAAAATTAATTTTGAAAATATTCCCTATCGATGTTCTACACATTTACGCCATTTATCGGACAGTCAGCGAATTCCCTCATGAAAAAATGATGGCGGTTTTCAGTTAATAATTAATTGTAGAAGCCACGAATTAAATTGTACATCTAGTATTATGCGAAAATTCGGTTATCCGAATACTTTTGTAATTGATAATCGAGGGTCTACTGTACTTTAACATGGATATCGCTAAGACAAAATTTTGGAGTGTTGTCAGTGGACACGCGTTAGTTATGGAATTCCATAAATATCGGTTAGGTTTACTGGCCTAATTCACAAATCATAAAGAGGAAACATGGAAGCTCCGAACAGTGTCACCTGAAACTTTTGACGTCGGCAACTTCTTTAATTCGATTAACCGACATTAATTACACTCCCTCGGTTGTCTATATCCACTAGCTCTTCTTGAACACTCTATTCTCGTTAACTGGTCTCTTCCCCTTGCATCGTAACTGGTCTCTCTCCCTGCAACTTTTCACATGTTTTCGAATGTATGCGAAGACAGAAAACAATGGATAACAATTGACAATATTCCTGCAACAGTTTTTAAGTCGTTCAATTTTCGTGAAAGAAAATTATTGTCGTTCGTCGCTCATAAGTATATATAAAAATTATTGATGACGAACGTAACAGATTTCTCGAAAATTACGATAATAAATTAACGTCGTAAGTTAATCCCTTTATGGTTTTATAGCGCAATGGAATCGATGATATATTTCGTTTCAGTCAATTATACATTAATATCTAACGTACTTATGTTAGATGTTTACTAAAAAATTAAAATATAATGAAAATGTATAAGTTATATAATTAGGTTTTGGTCGTGAGGGAAGACACATTTAAATGCTAGACATTACTTTCGTGCAGTCTGAACTTTCTGTACAATATAATAGAATGAAACTATGCACATATGTATACAGGAACTGAGTTAGCTTACGACTCCCTTCCAGGCGAAGATACAGAGCAATGGCGGGCGTAAATATTATATGATGCAGTAAGTTTATTTTCCTACCATGACGTTTTTTAACGGAATGTACCAAATGCGTTTGCCGGATGTAATAACAGATTCTCGTAAATGGAACTGCATTCTTCAGGACACTATGTACATTCATAAGTGTATTTTTGTAAAAAATCAAAAAAGGAAGATAGATTTTATTATGTCATCATTTTCATCTATGCCTTTCTACGTTTACTTGTAAATTTTTTATTCAAATTTCTGTATTCCTGATTATGTTAATAAAAGTGTTACCAGCGAAGATTAGCTTATTATAACTTTAATTGTAAAATTTATTGTAATATATGAAAAGGAAATACAAAACTTAGTGAAATTAAAACTTACACAAAAATTTAAAAAATTTTTATTTTATTCTTAAAGATAGTGGATGTCTTATTTGGTGAAACAAATTTTGTATATACTCTGGATTTTGAAAAATGTTCTATGAAAGTAGGAATCCGCAGTTTAAGATGCGAGATTTAATTGTGAGTATTTATGTTTTTACCAAATTGTTGTTATATTATGCAGAAGTTATAAGAGACATCACATGCAGTTATATCTCATATAAATGTTTGCTCCAGACTCTGAGCTTCATCTTCAACTCTTATATAATCATGTGTGCAATAAGAACCGCATTACTCTCATTAAAAGTACGCTGCGGATTTTTAAGTAAATTCTTAATTTCATAACCATTAAAAAAGAAAACCAGAGCGAAAGGAAAAATTATTGCACCTACCACGGTATATTCTAAACCAAAAAGAGAGTAACAATTAGACTAATTCTTAACATATTCACCGCCGCGTTGGTCACCGGTGATCATCATGCAATACGAATTATGATGTCAGATATTACAATCGGCGTAAATGAGCAGTTAGTCGAAATAGACGACGCGGAGAATCTGTTAACTAAAAATTTAGTAATATTCAAACAAACCAACTATTTTTCTTTTCAATTGTTACATCATAATCAACTAGTACCTATCTCTTACAAAAGTCTTTCAATATTTGAAACATTTAGATCTCAGACAAGAAGATTTACAAGCAACATTAGTATCTCCCAGCATACATATGACTCCAACGCCTACATCCCCAAACCTTTTTTCCGTTTTAGTCGTTGTATTACAATCGCCTAGTCTTTTATAAAAGTTTTTATGAACAACAGTTTATATGAACTCCATTTATCCGAATAAAATTTGAGTAGTGCTTGATTAACTGAATTCTAACTGAGCTTCCTCGAATGTAAAGTCATATAGATGGTACGAGAAGAAATAGGTGGATCTCTATTATACGTACGATCTGGTTATATGAACAAATTTCTCGATCGACAGATCTACATAAATACAGTTCTACTGTATTAAAAAATGTAGACCTCAGATTAGATCTACAACCAACTTTAGCATCTCTCAACATCTGAACTGCAGCGCCAACATCTTCAAACTATCGTACTATTTTCATTTTTTAATTGTTATACTACAAGCAGCTAGTATTTTATAAAAATCCTTCAACATATTCAAAAATCTGGACCTCAGACAAGAATGTGTACAAGTAACATTAGCATCCCTCAACATACGACTCCCTAACGTCTACATCCCCTAACCTTCTCATCTTTTTGTATCATTGGCATCGCCAACCCACACGACTCTACTTTTTCATATTCGATCCACCTATCCATCTTCCATCCATCATTTCAATAACTCTCCGAACGTCCATGTCTCCATTGGCCGGTGTGTACTCGGGTCGCGATTGAAATATTAAATCGTTGGAAACTGCAGTCGCGACACGGTCGGTCCTGTTCCACGTTTCCTTGGCCTCGTCGGTTGGTTTCGCCCGGTTCGATTTCCTCCGGCTCGCACGGGCAAAAGGATCTCGGTCGTTGTCGAGTGGCGCGCGGGGGCGCGTTCCCCCCCACCCTTCGCCTCGTCCCGCCGACAAACGTCAGCGACATCTCTCACCGTTGGTTTCCATACGGGGTCGACGAGCAGCACACCTCGAGGCCGTCACGGCCGTCTTCAGGACCGACCCCCGCGGCCCGTGTTCCCGATCGTGAAACCGTCGGAATGGCCGACACCGAGTTCGAAGAGTTTCGGCACTATTTCGAGAGGCTGCCCCAACACCTAAAGGCGCCTCTCTCCAATTACACGTGAGTAGCGACCTGGGACGTTTACACGACGAGAAAACGCATTTCCGAGCTTGCTATGACCCACGTCCCTGATATTAGCTGTCAGAGGGCACAAGCGTATTTATTTTTTATCGAGGCAAGATCTTGATGAAAATTGGACTGCAAAACTGTCACCGTGTGCCACGTCGATGTGATCCTGAACGGATTTTACTGGGCGATGTTTAGACTGCAGTTGCGTTCATGTAAATTCGAGTGACTGGGGCCGATCGAACCGTTGAATGGAAGAGTATTTTCGGTTGTTAATCGGCTTGTAGGAATGATTGGCGGGCTCGTCGTGTGTTTCTTATGTTAGAGTGGAGTATGACGAGTTTGGATTGTACTGGGGATGGTAGGATGATGTTGCTTCGTGTCCATCTGGGAAGTCTGGTCACGTTATGTCGCTAGAGGTTGGACGGTTGAATTCGGTTGAACGTAAAATGAGGACTGCGGTAGATTATGTAGGTTTTGTTTTATTGTTTGGTATTTGAATTGCATGGAATCTGTAGATTAATGGTGGTATTTGAGAGGGAAGTGTCTTTAATTGATTATCCTCGATGCAATATAATTAGTTGCAAGGGGGGTTGCGTTACTCGAAAATTGTGACAAGGTTACGGAAAAAAGTATTTGGTGATTATTAATGTTCCTTCTAGAGTCTGGTCGTAAGATGTAAAAGATTGAGTTATTTAAGGAGGATCGATTTACTGACGGGACTTTGTGTGAATGAACGTGTATGATATGTACTGATAATGGGGATTATTGTGAATTGGAAGCTGGCTCTATATCATTAGGAACACAGATGCATAGTTTAAACGTTGTTAATAGGTCGAGTAGGTTTTGTCAAATATGACGCAATTTTTCTGGCAGTTTATAATAACCTTTTCATACATGATTCCTTCTGGACTATTTTTGCATTTTTTAAATTTATGTCGATTCATTGAATGTCGACAGAATCGATACATACTGGTAATATGAAAATTAGACTGCGGATTTTATGCATTTATAGCCTAGAGAGCGATGTGAAATACAATGAAGGATCAAATTTTCATCGGATGCAACGAGTTTTCTATTTCATTCTGAACCGAATAAGATATTTAACATTCGAACTACCAACCAAGCCAAAATGACTTGTCAGTATACTTTTATAACGATGATTACAATTACAATGTTATAACAATACATTTTCTCAGATATTTTTCAACTTTTATTAATTACGATATGAAATTGAAGAAATTAGTTAATTCATAAGTTTATAAATTTCAAAAGTCTGTCATGTTTTTCGACCGATCGAAATGGATATGCGTTTATCGTCGGTAGTTCTAATGTTAAGAGAGTAAAATAATTTCTACATTTGCTCTTGTCTTTACGTATTATTTTGGAAAATGTAATTTCGTATAAAAATCCGCAGGCAATAATGTTTGAACTTTGTCCGTTCGAATGTCGACAGAGCATTAGCTACGTATTAACGTGCCGATCACATTGCAGTCTGCATCTATTACGTAGCGTTGCTTTCACCCGGTGTGTTGCACTTTTGGGTGGAAATTAGGGGGCTAAGCCGTGGATGCATCGGAAAGATACGCGACGGAGGCGCGGTCGATGCTTATGTCCCTGTGTGTGAAATAAATTTAGTGCGAAAAGAAGCAATCTCCGTAGAGTCACTTCATCTATAGGATCATGGAAAAATAACTGAACTCTTTCAATAACTAATAAATAAAACACTATATCTGCTTAACCCATGTGCACTGTTCGAATCAATTTGATCTATATTTAGGCTTTAATTTTGAATTATATTCTTTATCAGAGAAATTTGTAAATCAATTTTACGTCAGTAATTTGCATATGTAACAATAAAACGATCTGTAAGTATATTTCCTGAATACGATTTTAGTTTATAGATCAAGTTTAGTTCAAGGAATAGTAGTTCAATGCAATAATTGAGGGGCTACTATAACAGAAACGACCCTTGTCAAATATTTCGATTTATGTGATTTGATTCTACATAGTAGTCAATTAAGATTCTTAAAGCTGCCAGAGTAAGTATATCTCTTTACTTATTTTGTTTAGTTTCTTTCCTTATTTTTGTTTTAGTTTAGACCCTGTTTAATTCGAGGATCGGTAATGCGACAATTTATTGAATAGTGCACAAGGGTTGAAAGGTACTGAATATTTTTGTATATTAATACTAACCGTACCGAGAATTTTATATACCTATTTGCACCGTATTTAAAACCGGTCATTTGGCCGGCGGTCGGTACGGTTAGTGTTAATACAACAGACGCAGTATACACGAAAGTCTTGCAATCACAGGTTCATTAAAAAATGACTAAATACTCCCAATGGCTTATTACAGATAAACTAATCCAGTTTAAGAAGAATTGTCAGAGTACTTGTATAAAATTATTCGAAATATACATATATTCTTAATACAGAATGATTAAAAAGTAACCAAATATATACATTGAAAATTAACAACATTGTATTTTATTACAGATAAACTAGATTTATGTAAAAACAGACTAAACAGAGTGTTCTCATCTACTTCTAACACTCCGAAATTAAATGTATTTAAAGTTTTGTGCATAAATCAGATCAAAGTACAGTTTCAAATGTAACTTAGATATTAAACAATACATTTTTGAAAGTGTTCAGTTAATAGTAAATATGGCCTGTTTAAAATGGCTGTAACAATTAAATGAAATATTATATTTGAGTTGCTGTACTACTTAATTACTTAATTACGTAATTAAAAATTATGACTCATAGACGATTACCGTTTTCAATGAAATTACGTTACTAAGAAAAATGATAGGTCGGCAAGATTAAAATTTTTGTATTTGTCGCGGTCAAGACTAATACTCTCAACAGTAACATGCTTCAAAAATACAGTGATAGGTATGTGCCATGTGGAAGTTTATTTATTAACCACGGGCGAGCTTGACCCGCCACCGAAAAAGGAATAAAATAAAATCGATACCAGTCCATCCGATAACTACGCGAAATTATATCCGCTCTATCTGTCACTCTTGGTTATTCGTCTTTTACGCGAATCACGTCTGGTTATTAATGGCCCGCAATCGCGTTCAGCTTTTATCGTTAATTTGATCTAATCAGATGTCCACATTTCTTTGGCGGCAGTGAATTATCTTTAAATAAGTATCTTGAAAACAATGAGACACAGGGGCTTTATAAAACTCATGACATTTTAGACGTTGACACGAACTGTCCATCTAGAAGAGTGTTTTGGAAGAAGAGCAAAACATTTAGGGACATGGAGTACCTACACAAGTTCAAATAAGCCCAAAATTTCCTATTAGATACTTTTTTCGACTTACACCTGCGAAGAAGTTCCTCAAAGACGGTAAAGTTTTCAAGGTACTCGTAGATTTTTTTCTGTGAAACATTTTTCATAAAAAAACTGGAAGAAAAATGTAACTTAAAACGATCTTTTTTTTATATTTGATTGCTTTTTTCTCATCTTTGTTTCGATTTATCCTCGCCAAGAATAATTTGCAGACGTATGTTGATAGGACATCTTTCGCTTATTTCTGTTATCACGATGGGAACCTAAATTATTTGACCATTTTTCGGGTATTCTTGCACAAAGTAGAAAAAAGTTTGGTAAAATTACCGCTGAATCGAACTTGCATACAAGCACCGTACGTTGCGAATCTGAATTAAGATAACAGCGTTGTTTACCTGTTGGTCAACAGTATTCGAGTGTTTCTTGCTCGTGACGAAGTGTTCCTTGAGAGTTCTAACGTGTCAGCTCGCTGAGCTTTGATCCAGTTGTCGGTTAAATGGATAATATTTTAACAGAAGACGTACCGGAGCACGACGTATCACATCCACTTCGAAATTTCAATCGAAACAATCCGTCTGCACCATCTACGAGAACCGTCAGTCATTCAAATTTCAACTGTCTGCTATGCGACAAACCAAAATAACGATTTTACAAAATAATTATAATAAAAAGTGTTAACTCTTTCACTTGTTCTTCTATGATCCGTCATAATTTCACGTTATACAGGGTGGTCCACGTAACGGTGACAAGAGTACTTCCCTTGCGGTTGTTATAACGATTGAATAGTTTAAAAAATCTATTTTCTACTAGCAAAATCTTATCTTGGACTGCTACAAATTATCTCCAGTACCTAGTTAAATATTTTCTTAAACGAATATATGTATTCCTTTACATAAAATCAATTCATATCATCATTCTACGCAAAGAAGTATTAACAAAAGACAGTCGAAAAAGAAATAATTTATAAGACATTTCAAATCAACGCATTCATTAAACTCTCGGATGGCGATGTTTAGGTCTATTTTAACCTAGGAGCTTACAGAAAAATGTGTAGTTGTTTATATTGGTATTTTATAAAAAAAGATTGCATATATTCAAGAAATTCGTTTCAAGACACAACTAAAGACAAATGAGTCTATCTGGATCAACGCACAGCTATCTATTGGGTCATGAAAAGCACCCACCTTTCGAGGGTTAACAAAGACGCTCGCAACCTCTTTCCGTACATTATCTACGTCTGATATAAGGATGGCATGTAACTGGTAATGCATCCGAGTAGAAAAAATAAATCGAAAATGCAAAATGAAACTTTTTATATGGAGGTCCGTGTTCAAGAAAATCGAGTTTGAAGATTCATCTAAAACGCGGTTGTTGCAATAAGTAGACACATAAGATGTTCAAAGTCGATTTTCTCGAAAGTCGGGTTCCATATGAAACAATTTTATTCTGTATTTTCGACTTATTATTTCACGTAGAATTATTCCCTAACCTGATATACCAGTAGTTACACGACACCCTGTATGTCTCAATCTATTCATTTTTCGATCATCATTACGATGACCATACGTCCTTCATTTAAGAGGACAGTCCTTTATTTCACTGCTCTGTCAGAATGGTTAGTTTCCTTTTTATTTTGTGAACTGAAATAGTAAATCGAACATAAATATAAATGACGGCGAAATATTTGATGAAGTTTCGTGTATTAAAAGTTATGTCACCAGTGAGAAGATCGAAGAATGGCGACAAAATGACAAATACTGCTAACGTATAGTAGATAGGTTAACCCAATTAAAAAAGGAAACATTGAAAGCACGCATTTATACTAAATGCAACTTTGACATAAATTGTATTTATGAATTTTTAAAACACAAAGCTGATTTATTAAAAAAAAGGGCCATTCTTCTAAAAAGTATCAAAATTAACCTTTTTTTTAAATATGAAACAATTTCTGATTTGTCCTTTATTACCTTCAAAAAAATATGGTCGTCATAATCATCGTCGAAACAAACAAAATACAGTAAATTTTCGATTAATGCTCGAAACGCGGGACCACTTTGGAGCAGTTATCGCAGACGGACACGATTTCTGCACTTCATGAATTGTGTCAATTCATGAACTGCATTTCGAACCAAGTTTCAGTGTAGAACCTCCCAGTACAGTAAATCCTCGACGAGTGTTCGAAGGCTCCTCGGTACTGAACATTAAATATTTCATAAATTAATGACCATATGCGGCTGAAACAAATGTCACTGGCTTCAGAATTGCAAGCTCTATCGCTATGTTCAACCTGATTAAAAATACAGCGTTATACCTGGGGACTTCTCCTTATCAGTGCCGACGAGCATTCGAACATTCATCGAGGATTTATTGTAGCGGGGATGAGTAAGAAGTAGTTAACGTAGAAATCCTTCCGAGCAGTTATCGAGAATTTACTGTGCACGTTCTTAATCCATTTAACTCCATCATTCACCCTCCTTTCTTCGAGTCCAACCAGGAAACAAGGATCAACGTTCATGAACTATTGTTTCTGTCTGACAGGCTTGTTCACGATGTCATGATAGATGATTCCCCGACCTCGTCGCAGGGCAGCGATGCTGAGGTCGGCAGAGCCTGCGACGGAGTCGCGGCTGATTCCGAGGACGAGGACGTGGTTGTGATACACCGACACGATAACCAGAGCGGGCACACGTCGGGGGACGAGAGCGAGGATCTCGATCATAATTGTTCGATCGTAGCCGACAGCGACTTCAGGTTGGTAACATCGTAAGTGTGTAAATACCGTTTTTTCCTTTTGCCTGTGAACACGTCGTTAGACAATTCTTAGAGTTTCGTTACTGTTGATCGAATGACTGTGAGATTAATCGGTGAATTATAGAGGTGTGTAAATTATAGAACTTGAAGTAGAATGGAATACAGGGTAAGGCGGACATTAAAGTGGCCCCAAATGGAAAATCAACTTTTTAAATCCTTAACTACTATGGTGAAATTCAAATACGTTAACACTGGCGTGTTACCCGAAGTGTAATTAAGTGTAATTAGGCCAACACGTGTAATTGGTAAATTATAAGACTTCACCTAACAAAAGACTACTGAGGCACTTAGCCTAATATGCTACTTGAAAGCGAAATTATGACAAATTTTATACTGTTGGGGATACTCCAGAATCCAACTATAGCAGTTAAGGGTTAAAGTTATATTTTGTATTTAATATTATTCGTTAATTGGTAAAATTGTTGTATTTTCAAGGTGGAAAAATCGTTAATATACCATACCAAATGTAACCAAAATGTACGGTACATTATTATCAAATAAAAATCTAAAACTGGATTTTGCGTTTAGGTCCGGTTTTATGCGCATCACCATTGTATTATGAGTACGAACTTCTTTTTTTTTATAAATGACGGTTTATTTATAGGAGGCATGTGTACCATTTCTATTTTTTATGAGTTTGCATTAAAAAGTCAAATGAAATCAGAGATATTCACTTGTACTTGTTCTGATTAGAATGTCGAAATTCTAGTAGGGTCTGTGACGGGCAGTTTGCAAATTAATACTTTGACTACCACAGTGAAAAACACCGCACGTAACCAGACACTTTATTTCGTTTTTTGTCATAAATCGTCGATAATATACATATGTGTTTAGTTAATAGAGGCTGTGGGTCTTGCTTTAAATTATACTGCGACATTAATTTTACACAAAAATCTTGTAACGGTATTTAAATAATCCAGCCTTTTTGTAATGCACGTGTCACCACCATGTTTAGATGATGTTGCAGTCAAAGTGTTAAATGGTGGTAGCGAACGTCTTATGACGGATTTCGCTGATGTTAAAGACTAAATTCTCAATTTAAAATTGTAATTTTTGTGAAGTTGCGTGATAGTAATATATATATGTAAAATATTAGCGTCAAATTAATGTATCAATTAGAATATTGCAAGAATAAAATATTTTTTACCGTAATTTCTTTACGTTTCTCTAAAGAAAACAATAAATTGTAGGAAAATTATTAGATTACGTTTAGTCGAATAATTTACACACCTCTGCACGTATAAATATGTATAACGTATGAGATTGTAATTGATCATTCAACTAGCTATTTTCGTAAAATTTTGTGTATGGATAATCCATAGTGATTCAGATAATCGATCTTCTAATTGCATTCGATAGTGTATAGGGTGTCCTAGAATTTTCTGCTCGAGAAAAATATACATATCTATTATCCGAAAGAGGAATATATTACATACACATTGATTTAAATAAAAGAGGTTAGAAAAAAGTATAATGTCCTGGAAATAATAAATTTGAAGTAAAAAAACATGATATATTAAAAAGAATTAATGACAAGTGATTAATAGAGACTATGCTGATTTTTTTTATATGGTAACTTTAAATTGTAGTTGATCAATTTTCATAGATTATTTCGTACTTTAGTTACAATTACAATGAACCCATTACAAGTGTCTATTTACGTAACACCTTGTTTCTGCGTCTACATACAGAACGCATTGATACAATGTGGAACACCCTATACATGATTCAACTCTTGTTTCTAATATAACTCAACTTCAAACAGTTAACATTGTTAATTCTTTATGTCTAGATAAATCTTCTTGTAACTTTTGCATGGAAGAAGGAATGAACTTTTTCTCAAATTCCTGCAAATCTTTTAAACAAAACCTTTCCCATAACTCCTCAAGGTCACGATTGTATTTATGTCTCCTCTATTTTTGTTTCTTAAAGAAAGGATATCGATACTTTTTCAAGTTTAGAAAAGCATCGTGATAAAGGCAAGTTTGCATTTAAGTTCCTTAGAATAGTAACTGGTAAAGTGTATTTCGATATCCTAGCATCTCACGTCCCTTAAAAAGAATATCCTTTCACAAATGCATTGGAATTAGATTACATAACATCTGAATCGAAATATGGGATATGAAATACAGGTAGCCCTCCTACAACACGGTTTCGCTCTAACATGATAAGAAAATTGCGAAAACTTTTGTACAACACTGTACTTCTACAGTACTGGATAACATGATTTTTGTTTGGATACACAGCACATCAAGTTTCCAATTGCCGACGAAACTGGGCTTTGGTGGAAAAAATGCCCAGTAGAACCTTTATACCGAAAACAGAAAAAACTACACCTGGATTTAATGTGTCTAAAGATCGTATAACGCTACTTTTGTGCAGTAATGCGTGGGGGGACTTTATGACAAAACCCTTGCTAGTTTATAGATCTCTAAATCCCCGTGCACTTAAAGGCGTAAATAAAAACACCTTACCGGTATATTGGACAGCAAATCCTAGAGCTTGGGTGACTGGAAATTTATTTAAAGATTGGTTTTTAAATTGTTTTGTGCCAAACGTTGAAAATGATTTAAAACGGAAAAATTTGAGCTTCAAGGCGCTATTACTATTAGATAATGCTCCATGTCACCCACAAGATTTGAGTCATCCCAACGTCAAAATAGTGTTCCCACCACCTAACACTACTTCGTTGCTCCAACCATTGGATCGAGGTATTATTTATACCTTTAAAACTTATTACATAAGAAGAGCATTACAGTGGATTTTAGACGTAATCGATTCGAAATCAATTAATGTAATGGAAGCTTGGAAGCAATTTTCAATTAAGCACTGCATCGACATTATATCTTTGTCGCTAAAAGAACTAAAAACATCAACGTTAAATGCATGTTGGAAGAAGATATGGCCATCTTCAGTGGAAATAGAGAACGTGCTTGAATCGTCAGAAAATGAAATTGGTGGCATATTAGAACTTGCTAAATCGACCGGAGACGAAGGCTTTGTGGATATGGCTATTGAGGACGTTCAAGACTTATTAGTGGAAGAAGAAGTTGACGAAGCGGATTTGATGGAAATGGCATCCCAAGTTGGAAATCAAATCGATTCTGAGGACAATAGCACTGATGAAGATTGTAAAGTTAATAATTTAACATTAAAAAAATTAGAAGAAGGCCTAAGCTTAGCTGAAAATTTTGAATCATGTTTCCTGAATGCAAACCTTTCCGCTGAAAGAAGCCGAAAATTCAAAAGGAAGTTGCAAAATTGTCTATCTTCATACTATGAAATGTACAATGACCTTGTAAGAACCAGCAAACAAACCAAAATTACAGATTTTTCAAAGAGGATAGAAGATGCAAAAAATCTAAATGAAGAAGAAGGTTCAGAAAGTGAAGGTGATATCGTCCAACCGAAAAAATGTTCTCGTTTGATTGTATTGGGTAGTGATGAGGAAGAAATTTGTTAAATTAAGGTTACATTAAATAAAAATGATATTTTTGTTTCTTTTTTTCGTTTTGTGTTATACAAACATTTATATTTTTAATAAAAATTAAGTTGCTTACATGAAATTAAAAAAAAGGTTTTTAATAAGTTTTCGGAATGAAACCACCCTTTTTGTACCGGCTCTGGGTCTCATATAACACGGTTTCACACAACACGGCATTTTCTAGGAACCTATCTACCGTGTTATAGCAGGGTTACCTGTATATGCACCCATACAACTTTCAAAATTGAATTTCCAATTATATTAATTAACACGTTGACAAAGGTGGACATAATATTATTACGTACTTTTGTTTCTTTATATTCTTGTAATTTTAAGATGTATGTGGAATGTAGAATTTCAATATTTTCACAGAATACAATCGTAAGCATAATCAATACGGGCACTGTTAGGTGATTTCACTGCATGGTAAAGGAACCTTCACATACCTCTATGCTAACTCGATGAAAATTTTACGAAGATCATACGATGATACCAGTTCATTCTTAAATTGTAAACGCAGATGTTCAGCTTATGATCAAATTTAAACTGATATTACTGGTTGCACCAATAAGTAATCCACTATGGTCCACCAGAGTTAACTCTCAAGGACACGGGTGACATATTTCGTACGTCACCGGTACCGAGAAGTCTTTTATTTTTCTAAATTTTTTTACTCGACTAATGTTTATTTTTCATTACAATTATTTACCATTGAAAATAGAAAATTATTAAATTAGAAGATAAACAAAATACCTTTTAAAGGTACAAAAAACAAAAATGGCTTATTCACGGTACGTGTCTTTAATTATGCTCAACAAATACGTATGTACATAAAAGTATAATTCCAAATTTTTAATTTCCATAAGGCTTACCTAGAGTTATTTACATCATTTCGTCAAGAGAATTTGATTGCGAAGCATAGTAAAAAACAACTTCATAAAGTCATTCACTTTGTACCAGCTGCTTATTCTTTCTTGGAGAGACAAGAAATTTTCATAAATAGAACGATTACTGGAAATTTCGTTTGGTATAATCGTGCGATGAATAAATATTTGAGTATAGGCAAATAACTTTTAAAAGTGACAGTGATGAAGAATATGAAAGAATATGAAAACATTCGAACAGAGGTGTATTCGTAATTGAATTGTATCCTATAAGTTCCAAATGTAAATTACTAAACAAAAAATAAAGTTCCATAAGCGTGGCAATACAGTTTAAATTCGGAATACTTTTCCGCTTTTCCCATCGTCAAAATGGCGTAAGATGATAATATACAGACGAACCACGAATAATTATTACGAGAACATCAGAGTTTGTGTTATTTCGAAATAATAAATAAAAATAGTAGTCTACTTACTGGTATAACGAGCACTAGCAAAACAATTTGCGAAAATTTCGAGTATACAGGCAGATGTTATGATCCCGTTCTCAATGCATTAACTCCTTCTAAAATCCCAATCAATACACTTCGAACGGCATGGTGAAAGGTAGCTTAGCTCACTACACAACTACCCTTGGGTGACATTAGCTTGTTCGGTGGACTGAGCAGCAGGGGTCGATCGGCAGGCGTCGGTGGACCGGGTCCTGGTGGAGGCACCACCACCATTTCCGGTTCCGGAAACGGCGGCAGAGACAGCGTCGTCAGCGACGTCGGTGACTCTTGTTCAAGTTTGAGCTCCTGGCCAACGCCGGAACACGTACCGTTGAATCGCCCTGGAAGCGGTGGCAACGAGCGTAGACGTCGGAGGTTACCGGAAATCCCCAAAACCAAAAAATGTAAGAGAATTAAATGCAAAAAAATTCCGTAATTCACTGATTTTCCGTTTATGGTTGTACACCACCTTGTTGACCTAAAAAAACGTACATTTATTGTTTTGTTTTAATTATTTTTATTTAAGGGGTGTACACCACCTTGTAGGCCTAAAAAATTGGTTAATTAAAAATTTGGTTTTTCTGGTAATTATTGAGTAAAATATTGGGATCTTTTTAAGTGAGGCAATTTTTTAATTTTATTTTCATACTCAGAGGATCTCCGAAAATATTTATCCGCTTAACTTGAAATCTCGGCACATTATTTCTTATAAAATTATCTACATAGGACGTAGCATATAATTTTTTAGTAATTTCAAAAAATAAGGAAATTGCAGCTTTATAAAGAAGAAATAATTTTTATTACTGAAAAATATCAAACTTAAAAGTTCATAAAAATTCATCAAATTTAAATATGAAGAAAGTTGTATGCTACGTAGTAGATAATTTTATAAAGGATAATGTGTCCACATTTGATGTTGACGGGATGAAAAGTTTCGGAGATCTGCTGGGTATCAGCTAACAAGATCCTGCCAAGTATGACGACAGTCAATATATAAACACACCATTTTGTAGTGTTAAATAATAAATAATGTATCAAAATAACATTAAAATATTACGTAACATCTTTATGTAATATTTTGCTCAATAATTACTTCAGAACAAATTTCAAAATTTACCTATTTCTGTTAGGCCTACAAGATGATGTACTCCCCCCCCCCTTAATGCACGTACTCAAATATTCAATATAATGTCAACTCGCTTAGTAATTCAGGTACTCAACAGAAATTGATTCGAATAAGTAGATTATGGAAAACAGGTATCCTACTGTATTGATAACGTAGTCTCGTCTGAAACACGTTCTTAACATTTAAAGTTACTCTGGTCCAGGAAATTGTCTATAAAAAAACGTTACATTTATCTTTTCGAATGAAAATGTCAGACGATAATACCCCAGGCTGATCTCACATGCTGATCCATTACCGCTGCGATCAAGGTGTCATTCGAGAATGACATGACCTTAAGCGTGCAAGGTGGTCTCCGTTACGAATCGACTATATCCTATGTATTTCTTCGTCGCCTGTTTGGATTCGAGGATCTTGAAAGATATCACGAGCTCAACCGCAGAATCGTTGACCGCAACGATAGAAAATCCATAATGACATCTACTTACGTCACACGTCACTTGTTCCAGCCTCGTTACATCTAGCCGAGACCATATTAAGTACTCCCTCGCTGGTTCCCTACGATGGTCACGACCGTATTTGATCGTATCAATGCGTGTCGATCGCGTGTTAATTGTTCGATAGTAGTATATCAAGAATCTTGGTACGTTGGATCTTCGATAGTTTTTGAGTGTTTAGTAATTATTTCGGAAGCAGGAATACACAGTCGAATCGAGTTTCATTAGTATAGTAAATCCTCGATAAGTGTTCGAAGGCTAGTCGACACTGATAGGGAGAGGTCCCTAGGTGTAACGCTGACTTTTCCATGAGGTTTAGCACAATGATAGAGCTTGGAATTCTGAAGCCAATGAGATTTGTTTTAGCCATATATGGCCAGTAGTTATTGAAATATTTCATGTTTAATACCGTGGAGCTTTCGTACACTTATCGAGGATTCACTGTGTACCCATATAACGATTACGGATGATATTAAGTTCGTGTGATCCAAACGTTTGACAGAATGATTCTCCTTTTCAGGTCTGCCTATCGGTCAAACGTCGATGCAGTCCTCGTCGTCACTGGCGGACGAACTGAGCGCGGCCGGTGGCGGCTCGACTTCGAGCAGGCCCCATTTAGTGTTACGAAAATGTCACTCGAGGCTTCGTCATGAAGACAGCTCGCCTGACAGCGAACGAATGGCGACTGACAGCGGCCATTCCACTGCACACTCGCCGGAAAACGGGCCGAAAAGCGTGTCTCCCATACCATGCAATACCCTGCAGAACACGGACTCCGTCTCGCCTAGCAGTACGCCAGGTGACATTACGATTTTTCTTTCTTTTTAAAAAGACACTGGTTAAGTTTCATTAATTTTCTTATTCATATTAACCCTTTCAGTACTGAATTATCTAAAAATTACGAAAGAAATACTTTGCTGCATTTTTGTGTATATTACGTAACATATAGGTGATTCACAAGAACATTTTAACATTTTGAAAGTGTTCAATCCCATTTTTCATTTGTTGCAATTTGACAACTTTTTTACCTTTGTCACGGTTATATAGGTATAATAATTCCCATTCTAATGTTATTATATGTATATAATAAAATCGAATTTTTTTTATCTTTGATCAGTAAACCCACTTGAAATATTTGAAAGATATTAGAGTTGTGTAAGTGTTTACTGTGTTCGTAACGATGCTCAACACTTGAATTCCATCAAATGAAAGAGGCAAGGGACCTATAATCTTATTTCACCGATAAGCTTATAAATGCACATTGAAAGTGTTATAGGATAGACAGAGGTGAATCGGATCATTTTCTGTTTGATAGTAAAAATAATACTAGTCAAAGCTGAGAAAGCTAATTGGTTATCATAAAATCGTAATTAGTACGCATTAACTTGAACAATAATAATCAAAAAATTAAAAAACCTAAAAATCTTTCTTTTTTCAAAGAAAAAAACCAAAAAGTAAGAAATATCCGATTCGCTCCAAAAGTTGGAACGAATCGGATAATCCAGAAATCTTTGAAAAAACTTAAATTTTCATAAAAAAAGATCTTCATATTAACTTTAAAAAATATAATTTAATGATAATGAGGCCAACTCACACTACTTGGCCCGTACATAAGTCGCAAGCATAGTGCCCTTTAACACCACCTCTATCAGTACATACCTACAATTCTCGTGAGATCACTCTTTGCAGACATTGCACTATACATGTACAATCTTCTTTCATTTTTTCTGGACACCATGATCCTTGATTGGTCTTATTAATGTACTTACGAACCATGTGTATATAAATAATTATCACATTTATAATCATAAAAATAGTCAAACGAAGAAAAAGAGTGATCCAATTTAGCCCAAATAACGTGATCCGATTAGCCCCATACACGAGGACTTCAAATTGAATAGCATACATAGACGAATTATGATACAATAATCTAAAACATATGAAATACTAAAGTTGGGCATCATACAAACTAATAACAATAAACACTTTTGAATTTTTTAAGCTTACTTTTTTATTTTAAATACGAAATTGCAGATTACGTATCTTAGATTCGCACCAAAATTATAACGTTCGCACGCGTTCGTCTCAATGGCAACATGTGCCAGCAGTGCCAGCAGTAAACAACTACGTAAAACAATTGATGGGTTATTGGATTGGGTGTGGGACAAGGATGACGTAATATGAACAATCAAAATGCTCGTCTCCAGAAGGATTTAACAAATATGGACTGAATTCTTATTTTGATCCGATTCGCCCTGTGATCCGATTAGCCTCGATCTACCTTTCTATCTATACAAGACTGGAAGAAACCATCACATACTCAGGGATATAAAAAAATACATGATACTATTATTTGATTTTGTAATTTAGAATACGTAGCCATATGGCAACAATGGAAATGAAAGGCTTTGAGAAGAAACCAATGCAGTGAAACATTTAAATTATTTTTGTCGTATCGAAACTCTTGATTAAACAAACGATGATTCTATTCGATTCCTGTTACATATAAATTGATTTACGAAGTTATGAAATACGAATAAAAATTCAAGAAAATATGTTAACCTTCAATTGATCAAGTGGAAATCTTATAACTTATTACCAAATTGCGGAACTTTAGGCAAAATAATATTTTTCGAAGTGATTTTTAACGGTGGATGTGAAGATTAAATTTTCTTCCATTTCGTAAGGATTTTATTATGACTAGATTAAGATAGAAAATGTATAAGATGTGATATTAGCTTTACCATTTATTTATCATATTTCACATAGTTGTAGGTATATGATATAAATGTATATGAATCTGCAGTCTACTCTTATTTCTTATTCGCACAACTACATAATTGTTTTGAATTCTCATCTAACAGAACATCGAAATAAACAAACATCTTTTTAAGTGACTATCGAATAAAAGTAAAATATCCTACGAATATTTATAGGGTTCCTCAGACCTCACCTGACCAGTTAAGGGTTACATTCTCGTTTATCTCGTTAATTAATAATTCGCTGTTGTTTCAAAAGGTAGCGGAGGTGTGCCGTTTACTCAACTGGAGTTACTCGAGGCGACGCATCGAGGACTGCACAAATTCGTGTCGAGACATCACGACGAGATCGATCTTGAAATCGGCGATCCTATCTACGTTCAGAAGGAGGCTGACGATCTGTGGTGTGAAGGTTCGTTGCATCGAAATCCCGTTTTCAGTTGATTTAAATTTAATCATACAAGTTAGGAATAAGTTCATGGCACGATCGGACGAGGAATTAAACGCGTAATAAATTTCTTCGCTCGAGATTTTGCTTCTGAGAAAGTCGAGTTTGAAGATTTATGGTATGATAAGTAGAAACGACCAGTAGCGAACCGACACTCTATAAATGGCCATAACAATTTCTTGGAAAGGACGTTCTAATTGCAAAATTTTATTCTCAACTTACGACATACACTGCCGGCTAAAATTTGGAACTATTCCGTGAGTTAATGAAAATAGAGATTTTTTCTTTGGAATAGAGCAGGCCTGGCCAACACGCGGCCCGCCAGGCGATTTTATATTTCTATTGAAACTTTTGTTTCCCGTTGTATATATACAAAAAAGTGCGACTTCGAACTCCAGTTCTATATTTGATATCGACGAACGCCAAATGTTACTGAAAGAATCGGTTTTGCACTTAGTAATGTAAGAGAGTGGAATGATGACAATACTTATGTTACATCCCAGAGATATTCCAACTTAAAATATTTTGCACAACGAGTTATAAGTGCTTTTGGATCCACATTTGTTCGTGAAACATTTTTTTCGAAGATGAAATTTACAAAGAGTTCATCACGTGCTTCATTAACTGATGCCAATTTAGAAAACCAGCTAAGATGTGCAACGTCGAACATAAATATAGATTTACAAAAATTAAGTGAAAGAAAGGATAAACAAATATCTCCTTAATTAAGACCCGAGAGTTAATTATATTGAATCATAGTATAACAGTAAAGTTTTATACAATCAGTCTTTAATACAAGTGTATGTAGTGTAGTGTTGTCGCATGTTGCTTGGAGTAGTATGTAAAGGCAGTACATTTTACGTAAGAATGTATTTATTTCTAAAATATTGGTGACATATGTAGTATTAAGATGTCTTCAACTAATTAGAATTGCAAAACAAAAATAAATTAATAACAACAAAATAAAACTAAATGAAATAAATTCAATTTATAAAAAAAAACAATTACTAATAATTATGCAGAGTGTGATATTTTTATTGATGAATGAAATTGATCAATAAAAAAAAAAAAATGACGTATCTCAGATGTCAAATGTACCTAAAAGTTTAATTTTTGGTTTGACGTCTTAGACACGTCATCCGCTCTTAGGGGAAAAAAGTGAATGACGTGTCTCAGACGTCAAATGTACCCAAGGGGTTAAGAGGTCATGCTCAGCCAGGAGACCGAAAAAAGAGTGTTCTTTGAGAATTTTTTTCTCACAAACTATACGATCTTTTTCAAAAAATGTATTTATGTTTCAAAGACTGCAGTTTATAGATTATAAGGTAATTTTTTTTATTTAAAAATATTTATTAGTAAATAAATGGTGAGCGATCTCCCGGATGTCTCTTCACAAAAAGTGGTCTGCCGTGATCACTCTAACTTCGTAACGGTTCATTTGAAATTAAAAATTCAGTAAGATTTATGTAATGGAAGAACCAATCTTTTCCTTGAACGTGGGGTTTCTCGAAATATCGATTAGAAACAAAATGGCGGACATTTTCCTGAAAAAGTGCGATTTTCACCTAAAAATCACTCGTTTCTGGTCAATTAAAAAAAAGTATGGAACGAAAAAAATCCTTCGTTCAAAGACAAGTTTTTCTGATTTGAAATAAGGCGTAAAAGGTTTCATGTAAATCGACACAGTAGTTTTCGAGAAATATTGATCACCGATTTGAAAAATGTAGTTTCGAGAAAAACGCGTTTAAAGTTTCAAGTCAAGCTTACACTTATATAAAATGTTCATTTTTTAACGCCTGTAACTCTGTCATTTTTAGTTGGATTACCTTGAAACTTGCACAGACTATTCCCGAGATATTGTACTTAAAGAAAATGTAGAAAGTGAAAAATCGATTTTTTTTTAATTTTTGACTGATCATGATCCCTTAAGTCCGATCTCACTGGATACAACCGACTCTTTACCGGATATAATACGTCGTGACACTACAAGTGACTGTACTATTCTGGCCTCCGAGGGTTGAAATCAGAGGTGGTTTATAGTCCCAAAGCTGGGTGAGGTTTCATTAAAATTTCTTTATAAGGAAATCTTAACGGTCGCGAGTGAATCATGATTCTGTCTTTAGGTTACTATCCAGTTGGTCGAGATTACGCTCCCCTATTACTATAAGGAATAAACAGACAGAGTTTTAGGGCGTTTTCCGTTGCCAGGCGCGCGGTAGAATACGATTGAAAATGAAATTATTCTCTATACGTAACAAAAGTTTCATCTTTTGCTCGGTTACACCACGACTATTCTTCCCGACATGTATTCGTCATACTAACTAATCTATGTTTCAATTCGAAGGCGTGAACCTCAGAACAGGTCGTCAGGGTATCTTCCCGTCTGCTTACGCGGTCGACATGGATTACAGTGACTTTGATCCCTCGGCACCGAAGGTGAAGAGGGAACGATACCTCCTTGGTTACCTGGGATCTGTGGAGACCCTGGCGCACAAAGGTACCGGTGTCGTTTGCCAAGCGGTCCGAAGAATCGTCGGGAATTCCCAGGAATTGCCTGTCTCCCAGAGCTGTATCCTGGAGGTGTCCGATCAGGGTCTTCGGATGGTCGATAGAAGTAAACCACGGGTAAACTCTCGACTCTTTCTATCTACTAAACTGTAAACTCGAATTTATTGCGAAAGAAAGCTGAGATAGATGTAAATGAAGCAATTAATAATCGCGACCTCATATAAATACTAAGGTCCGTTCCACGAGAGAAAGTATATATGTACTTGCTTGCCGATCCCGCTCGCCACTTTAAGGAAGATCATGGGGAAAAGCTGCGCAGAACAAGTACCTTAGTATAGATTATGAATGTCTATGCAAATTAACATTTCTTATAGGTTAAATTCTAAAAACAGGCACTGACTACATAGAGATATTTATTCCGCCTTTTTAATAATTTAATTATGTTGTTAATTAGGTAAATGGGAACGTTATTAATCCTTCGATTAGGGGAGACCAGGGTTGAAAATAACAGTTTTTGGTTCTCATGAAATTGAAAAGTCTATAGTTTAGCTAGAGATTTAATGTTAATTTATACGGGTAAGTTGGAGATTCAAGATTAGTTCTTTAGCGATGAAATGTTTTTCAATTAAGCAGAATTAGCTAATAAATACAAAGAATCGACATAACATTATAGTTTTCTCTTTAATTGACTCAACATAACATTATTTCTAAATCAATAGGTACTCGACGTAACATAAGTTACCGTTTTTTAATTAGCACAACACAACATTATCTTCTTAACGAAATCAATTATTTATTATGATTAAGAATTGCCATATTTTATTAATTATTTGTTATCATAGCGCAGTCTCTTTGATTTAAAAAGTTATAAGTCCTGTTACAATTTATGTACCTCCGTTACTTTCAACCTTGGTATCCTCTACTGCACACTTTATTAAACTGTCTTCCTGAATGTCAGACGTATGATTTTTATTACTCGATTGTAAGGTGTATAAAACATTCCTTTATGATCCTAACAAACTTAACATTTGATATTCTGTAGATTTTCCATTTTGGAAGTGTTACAGAATACTGTATCGTGATTTGTCGAAGTGAACCCCATTATGTCACGAAAAATCAAAATGGCGTCGCTGTGTGCGTCAAGGCTGTAAAAACCAATAATTGCAATTTTGATTATTATTACTTCAATGCACCAATGAAATCTTCATAAAAGTATCGACCGAGTAATTAATACGTATAAATGATTGTATTACATATATTTAATTATACACGGTGGGGCAATAACTATGTCCACTGTGAATATTGCCGTTATTTGTAATAATATGAAAAAATGTTATATACAAAACTGACACGGTATGGAGGGGGGCATGTTATGACACAAACATTTTCTACGTGGGTGAAGACATAGAGGAGATTTCAAGGTCAGTTAACGTGTGGTGTGGAATCGTTGGTGATCAAATAATCGGACCGCATTTTATCGATGGAAATCTTACTGGCGAACGATATCATATCGTCGATATGCATACTTTATACGAAGTAGATTGGGGACTTTATTAGAAAATGTACCACTAAACGTTCGTCAAATGATGTGGTTACAGCATCACGGGTGTCCAGCACATTATGCTCGGAGAGTAAGAGATGCACTGAACGAACTTTACCCAAATAAATGGATAAGACGTGGAGGATTAATTTCTTGGCCACCTCATTCTCCAGATTTAACCCCATTAAATTTTTTTCTCTGGGGAGCATTGAAAAATGCTATTTATCAAGAAGTACCCACTACACCAGAAAATATGAAACAACGGATAATTGCAGTATGTGCTAGAATAAGTTCAGAAACGATAAGACATGCAGGTGATGCAGCGATACGAAGATTGCAACTTTGCATTGACGCAAACGGTCACCACTTCGAGCATCTCCTGTAATGTAAGAAAGTTTATTTTAACCACACTTGACCTTGCATGACCTTCAATGATAGCTTGCTGATGTCGTCTCAAAACCGGCTATCACATCGCAATAAAAAAAAACATAGCATTACATTAAAAAAAATAGGGATGACCTTGAAATCTCCTCTATGCCTTCACCCACGCAGAAAATGTTTGTGTTACAATATGCCTCCCTCTATACCGTGTAAGTTTTGTACATAACAAGCTTTTCATATTATTACAAATAATGGCAACATTCAAAGTGGACATAGTTATTGCCCTACCCTGTGTACATATAAAGTAACTCATCTGTAGCTCTGTACGCCGTCATTAATATTGTGAACGTAATTGTATTGGCAGCTTGGTTAAAGACCGGAATAATTATTCACTTCGTAATTAGAAGTTACTGATTAATGGTTACAGATCACGCATACGGTATCGGTATACGATTATTGATTACCCTCGAGGGTGAATAATTGATTGCTGATTACTCTGCCGTGATTGCCTCATTAAAAAATTGCTCGATTCACATTGTGATCCTTATTCTTTTTGTAATCGTTGATTTCTGAAATGGAAATGTTTGCAGATTATTGTATAATGCTTATTATTGTGTTCTTTTTTTTTTCTTTCAGAAATGTCAGGGGCCCTGTCACGATTATTTCTACTCGTTGAAAAACGTCTCCTTTTGTGCGTTTCATCCTCGCGATCATCGCTACCTCGGCTTCATCACGAAGCATCCTACCTTGCAGAGGTTCGCTTGTCACGTGTTCATCGGCCAAGAATCTACGAGGCCTGTTGCCGAAGCTGTCGGGTATGCATAGTCCTATTATTCTGTCCACTTTTTTTTTACACTAGAACTATTAAACAAGTTAAAATAACTGGTCAGAACACTCATATAACGTTGATTAAAATGTTATAACCATACATTTTCTCAGATCTCCTACAACTTTTATTACCATATGAAAGTGAAGAAACCAGTTAATTTATACAATTATACATTTTTAAAAATTTGTGATGGTTATCGGCCGATAGAAATAGATGTATGTTTATCCCTCGGTACTTCTAGTGTTAATCATAATTTTTTTTTAATGAAAATAATAATTAGTAGATTGCGTATGTTATGTTAATTGCTGTTAAATAGATCGATGAAAACTAAACAGAAATGAGATTTTCCGAGCTTAATGAAGAAAACCTTTGTTAAGATTTCTTTACTTTCTTTACGTTAAGTAACCTTGTTAAAGGTTTTCTTCGATTCAAAAGAATAAAGAGAAAGCTTTACCAAACCTTGTTAACAATTTCTTGCATTCTTTTTTTGTCACATTCTTATTTCCAATAAGTATAAATTCGCTGTAAATATTCGACTTATTCTAAGAACGAACAGTCTTTCATTTTACCAAGATCGAATTAGATAAAGTGATCGTGTCTGCAAGAAAACTGATGGTTGAACTAATGTTGCAAAATATATTGGTTACAAAAACCATAGCTCGAAGGTCACTATTGGACTGCATTTTGAAGAAAAATTTAAATTACACAATCTAATAAAAATGAAAGAAGTAAAGTAAAATAGTGTTTTTGGGATTTAAAAATAAAAAAATTTGTATTTTTGTCGTGTTAAATACAACTACAACTACAAGACAGAAGAGTATTATTAGTTTTTGACAAAATGAAAATTTCATTGCAATGTAACATTTCTTTTCGAATGTATTAATGTTTATAGAGATACGTAGTCGTGCAAATTGTTTTCGCACCTTCAATCTGAAAATGTACTACGTTCACCGAGGGTAAACCTTTAACTGGGGCGAGGTCAGAACGTACATACTTACATATATGTACATATAGTATATGATACAGAGTGGCTAGCTAGAAGCAATCACCTTAATATCTCTACACGTTCGTCGCCATGCTGTTTACTAGTAGCCAAGATTGAAATTTTCAATTAACATTACCCCGTCATGAGAAAGAGCATAATTAAGATTGGAATACGCAATTAAGATTATTACTGAAAACAAAGAAACCTAAAGTATCTAATTCATCCGTGAAAAATTGTATATTGCATTATGTAAAAAGAATTAACACGCATTCAGATCAATGATTTCGAGATTCTCGTACAAAATGGCCGCCACGGCGAACGTGCTAACCGCGATTACATTCCAAGAAGAAGTAATCTACAATATAATAGAATTCGATATCCTCGAAGTAACAAAGGTCATTAAACATAAAACAGAAATAACTTTTTTCTGATATATCGTTCCCGCTTTATTATTTTATAGAAGATATTAAGGCAATTGTAATTTAGCAGATTACTAAAATCAGAGCTTTATCTTTTACATTTGAAAATTCACTAATATTTCATTCTTTTCACGCGACTAAGATTAGATTCTAAACTGCGATATGTTCTTTCCGTAGGCGTGCTTTTCATCGGTTCTACACGAAGTTCATCGAGACTGCTTTCCCGATAGAGGATATCTATATTGAATAGATATTATACTGCTGGCCTGTCGTATAGCGGCTACGGAGGAAACAGATAAAACACACATTCTTTTCTCCCCTGTACATACTGCCCTTAGCTGTAGATAAAAAAAAAATGGCAAACGCGAATCAAATACCCAATTAAAAGACATATACATATGTGTACATGTATATGTATATGTATATGTATGTTGGATCGTTCAGACAGTTCGAAACGTTTCGAGCACAATATATTTGTTATCTTTAAAAAATTTAACGGTGGATGTTTTGGTTTCTGTGGGAAATGCAAAAAAAAGGTATGAACCGCTATAAAATAAATCACATTGATTCAATTGTGAAACTTTTCAACATTTATACTATAAGGTGTACCTATTGTAGATAAGTCGTCCATTTAACGAAATTTCTTGACGAAACCAGTATACGTTTGTATGAAAGTCAAGGGTCTATATGGTTTCATTTCTTTTCACAATGATTTTCCAACATCCTACGCTATTTTTGCTCAGTGAAAAATCGAAACGATACTTTCAATTTAAACTGTATCGCCTCATAATTACAAAAAACAGTGGACTACTTATTGGTATACCTAATACTTATCAGACGTTACACTGTTGAACGATTGAAACCAATTGGAAACTCAATTGGGTGACCTTGATAACATATGTCAAGGTCAAGGTGATTGGGTATGGGGGCTTTTCGGAAGTTTATCCTTAAATTTTCATTACAATCTCAGAAAAAATTCGCAAAAAACGACCTTTACTATTTTTTTCGCGATTCCGACCATTTGAAACTTTTTCAACAGTTTGTTAACACATGATTTACATAGTACGCTAATCCTTCTAGGTTCACAAAGAAACTCAAGACACTTGGTTCAATTTTGAAAAAGTTGTTCTGTTTTAAAGGGTGTACGAATACTTTTTTTACCCACTGTATGTACCTTGAAGAGTCCTTTAACCGAAAGGATATGAATTTTATGTAAAAATTGCAGTGAAAACAGGATGCAAATCGAAAACTATAGATCAACGTTCTTTACTTATAAACGACACGAACTTTCCGAACAATCCGATACATCTCTGTGTATATCTATATAAATATATATTAATACATATATACGTATATAAATATACATATAGTACAGATATACATGTGTATTCCACACAACACACATGTAAATCTATGTAGACCTATGTACATCTATGTATATGTATGTACCGAACAACTTCGGAAAGCGTCACGACGGGACCGACATCAGCGCCAATATTTTTCCCTCTTCTTTTCCTCTTCGTTTGCGTTTAACATATCTCCTCCACGCTCCTTCATCCTCCCTTAAACCTCCCTCTATCCAACACCATGCACGATCCATCATAAACGCATCCGAAGAAAACAATAATTTCATTATAGGTGATTTTCGTTTCTTTTCGTTACGCGATTGGGACGCGAGCTGAATACCGAGGGCGTGAAATCTTTAATATTCGACTAAACGTACACTAATTATTACCGATAAGAACTAATCGTTAACCTTTCGATCCTTCGACCAAGACAACCGCGTTAGCGACACATAGAAAGACAAACGACAATAGCGTGGATCGTATCGACGTTTAAAGAAATGAAAGAAAAAAAGAAAGAAAACCACGAAGGTTTTTATCGTTTTCTTTGTCGTGTCGATGATTTTTATTCGAATGATGCAGTTCTCCTTTCGTTCGACCGTCAACAATTTTGTACTTCGAATTGCTTTTACCGCCCAATTACGTTTATCAATATGGCAACGAAAACGAGGGAAGGGAACAGAATGGAAAGAATCATGGAGACACTTTGAAGCGATCTCGAAAAGCATGTCTAGGAAAAAAAGAAGAATGGAAGAAAAGCTATTTTATTGTATTTAGAGACCCCTATACTTTTCTATCTTCCTTTCCGAAGAAATCATTAATTATAGATTTATGTTCCGAACGATAAAGCGTTGACGTTTACGATGATCGTTTACGATTCCACGAGTCCTTCGTTCGCGTAGCAAAAAAGTAAAAAAAAACGATCGACCATTACTTATAAATCGAAGCGCACATTGGCCTCTGTGTATTTTCAATTGTATCTCGATGGTATTATACTGCGTTGTTGATATTCACGCGGTCACGAATCAAATCGTACGCACCCCAAGCAATGAGCGAGCGTCAACGATTATTATTATTAATTCGAATGTCGCGAGTATTATAATTTGTACCGATGATCGCCGTTCTGTCGTTCGAACGACGAGTATCACGACGGTCTCGTGTACGCAGGGTCCTAATTGTTGTTAAACGCTCCATTTTTATCGTGAACGAAGATGTGTGTACGATGTTATGTAAAACAAAAAGGATAAATATTCAGGATTTACGGGATAGATAATATTTGTTACACCGCATACATGATGCTTACATAGTAAATACATACTTACGCGGGAATATGACTTAGGCTTTAACAGCCGAACTATGACAGATTAGGGAAAGTTTTGATAGAAATGAACAAATCAACAAACGAAACTATGTTTCATGGGAAATGAAAAGGAACTGTTTTGTTGAAAAGTTCCATTGCGAAGATATGGAATATTTTATTAAGAATTAACAAATATTATCTTGAAAATTTCATATGTTGGGGTCAACTGCATAATTTTTTAACCATCAAGATTTAAAAATGTCGCTAATGAAACGTTCGTGATGATGAAAATTAATGCACTGGAAATCCTTGAAAATAAACAAAATCGCGGCAATATCTGTACGATAGTAGATTCGATCTCCCAAGAGTGAGCGCAATTTTGAAATGATACGTAGACAGAATTGTTCCATACTGTATTGACATTTGATATCTAGTTAAAACTTTTGAATAAAGCTTATGGACATTTGTTTATATAACGTTTTGTTATCTGCACACCGTAGAATATACTGGCACAGTGTGATCGTTAAAACCCGGGACACCACAAGATTACATACAAATATAATGAGGGACAAAAGTGTTTTTATAGAAAGAACCCAAAATTGAAAGAGGTATGCAAATTTCAATACAATTATCAATATAACTAATACAGTCCTTTAATTTTTTGTTGTTATGTATCTATCATTGTGAGATATTGTCAAATTTAAAAGCAACATTAGATAGTACCTAGTGTCAAGTGTGAAAACGAAATATGATTTATTCTACACTATTCTTACTTTCACACGTGTTTAACACTAGGTTTGCGGACATTTCTTATACTCCTATCTCTACGGACACGCATCAGCAAAACCGCACATTTTCTTTAAAAAACAATTTCTTTTATGTAATACTCAATTTACAATCGCGTCAAATTGACGCGTATCCGTAGAGATAGGTATACCACATAGAAAATTTCGAGATTAGAAGGTATTCGAAATGCATAAAAGTGACGCTTCCCGTAAACCTAGTGTTAAGGGCTCATGCTCAGTCAGGAGACTGAAAAAAAAAGTGTTTTTTGGGAATTTATTTCTCAGAAACTATAAGACCTTTTTCAAAAAATGTGATTGTGTTTCAAAGATTGCAGTTTCTAGATAATAAGGTAAATATTTTATTTAAAAATATTTATTAGTAAATAAATGGTGAGCGATCTCCCGGATGTATCTTCACAAAAAGTGGTCTGCCGTGATTACTGTAACTTCGTAACGGTTCATTTGAAATTAAAAATTCAGTAAGATTTATATAATGGAAGAACCAATCTTGTCCTTGAACGTGGGGTTTCTCGAAATATCGATTAGGAAGAAAATGGCGGACATTTTCCTGAAAAAGTGCAATTTTCACCTAAAGAATCACTCGTTTTTGGTCAATTAAAAAAAAAGTATACAACAAAAAAAAAAATCCTTCGTTCAAGGACAAGTTTTTCTGATTTGAAATAAGGCGCAAAAGGTTTCATATAAATCGACACAGTGGTTTTCGAGAAATATTGATTACCGATTTGAAAAATGTAGTTTCGAGAAAAACGCGTTTAAAGTTTCAAGTCAAGCTGACACTTATATAAAATGTTCATTTTTTAACGCTTGTAACTCTGTCATTTTTAATCGGATTACCTTGAAACTTGCACAGACTATTCCCCAGATATTGCACTTAAAGAAAATGTATAAAGTGAAAAATCGATGTTTTGAAAATTTCTGACTGAGCATGACCCCTTAAAGCTGCTTGGTTCTACGGTATGTTGAATAAAAATTACGAGACAAACTGCAGTGCTTACTTATTCAATGCTCAGAGACTCTGCCTGCTGCACACCATTGTCTACCAATTATACGTGCCTTTTATTGAGATCGCCTCGAATATACATATGTATATCGTGTCTTTTCGATTATTTTCTCATGTAGGTACAAATTAATATCATCACCGCGTGTATAGGTCATTGTTGCGATTTCGACGATAAAAACAACGTTCTTTGTTCCACGCTCACTTTCTCTCTGTCTTTGTCTAATTTTCCATAATAGCGATCCATGTCATCGAGATAGAATTAAAAAGATGGTAAGCGATGCGGAGAAGAAAAAAACAAAACGAATAAAAGGGAAACGTATAAGTATGTACTTACTTACGTTTGCATAATAAGATCTGTCACATTCCTTTTCTCGGTACAAAAGGAAACTGTATAATAACAAAATTTTTCAGGTTAGTCCGAACGAAAACGAGCGCCATTGTTCGTTTCACCGTGACCTTCGATGTGTTTTTCGTCGGGGCTATTCGATTGGGGATTCGATTCGAAGCTTCGTTCGCCCGAAAGGTGTATATTATTACGTTACAGTTGCAATTTTGGTAGCGATACGAAATAATAAATCCTTGTTATCGACAACGATCACTTCTTTTTCATTTTCTATTATCTCGTAGCGGATGAACTGTGAGGATAGTGTCCTGGCTTCCATTTCACGCGGAACATATCTCGAAGCGTCGGACGATTGCCCTATAATGTGTATTCGCTAATTTCACTGACGCGATGGTTGAAATATTGGTTAGTTGCTTTAGAATTATTGACAAGTTCGCGCTTAGCCATTTCAGTGACTG